AAGGTGAACAACTACTGTAACATAAACATTTTTTTTTATAAAGTTTTTCTATGATAAAAAATCTCTAGCTATTGTTTATGTTTTTTTACGAATTTCCCATATAGGGAATATTTTTTAGGTCCCTAAGAGGCCAAAAACACCGAGTGGTGCAAATCTCGCACAGTTAAGTCCGTGAATTTGAAAATATATGTGTGGATGGATATGGATTTGAAATGTTTATGGAATTAAACAGTAGTATAGGACATTTGTATATGGATGTATAGGTGAAGATGAGGATTTTTTAAAGTGGCAAAAATATTATCCCCATGTTATTCCTATGGGAAAAAATGCCCGAAGTTCCGTCTCTTTGCTATGTTGCCACTACTTAATTAAATTAAATCACTGCAAGGTAAAATAAAATGGAGAGCACATAATTGAGTAAACTGCCTAAGTCTGCAGGAAGTGCAAAGGTCAAACATTTCGCAGTTCCTGGGGCTGGGGGCGATGAATTTCCACAACCTTCCAAGGTTCTGAATGTATCTCTGACCTACATCAAGTTGATCATAGACCTCCTTGTGTTATACGGCCGTCAATGGGTGGAGCGGAGCACTTTATGCTACGAGTTACAATGCAACCGAACATTGGTTACATACTTTACTGATCTACAATTCTTGAGAAAAGGAATCGAACTTGTCATATAAAAATACTTAATATGTAAAACCTTATAACTAGCAGAACTCATCAGGTTCATTAGTTGGTTTTGCGCAGATATGATTATAGGGTTATCTTTTTGCTCCAGCCAAGCAAGTGACGTTCCCTAAAATTGAATGTGTAAAAAATTGCTTTGGAGCAAATACATAACAGCACCTTTCCTTTAATTTCTTTGTCTGTGGCTAGAGGTACCCAACATCCCAATATCATAAAATTGTTACAAAATAATTATCTCACTTCTTGGTGTTAATACAATCTTCTTCATTCCTATTAAACACTAACCCGAACCCAAACGGACAACCGAGTCCAAAATGGCAGCTGTTTAAATACTTCTTAAATCTTATTTTGAATATTTGAACATCTGCCATTTTTCCCCAGTCGTTATTTTGAGCTCAAATTAGCTGTGTTTAAATAAAAATTAAAAATCAAATACATATTCTGTATTTTGAAAAGTTACCAAAGCATTGCTTTTTTATAAAACATACTATTTAAAAATTAAACACTTTTGGTGGTTGTATGCCCTGATCGAATTCTACATTGACACCTTAACAATGTATATATGAATTACAAGCCTCATTATTATGATGGTAAAAAAATATATTAAAATATATTACACCGTTCCGGGACTTTTCAATCACGCTGTATATCATAAACTATTTGTAATTTGAGTAATCATTGTCACTGTATACATCTTATTTATTTAAGACACTTTGACACCTTTACAATGTACGTGGGTAATTTTGGTTTCAAACGTGTTTGGATTTTTATGTATGTAGGTGGTTTTATTTAACTCGTAGTGGCTTATGTTCTCCTTGTTTTATTTTGTCCTAAAAATAGATATTACAAGTTATTCAAAGTAATTGTATGTAATTATATATTGGAACACGCCCAATGTATTAATTTATCGATTATTATAGTGCGAAAGACTTTTAAGAATATCCTCATTAATACACTTGTTTTATTACCTATACGCCTCATGTGGTACACATATATAAAATATATGCGGTATATCTAAATATATGTGTATATGAATTTGAACGGCTGGTGTTTTTGGCCTTTCGGGACCTCAAAGTGAAAAAGTAAATCGGTCCCGGGTCCAGGTCTTAGTATGAGACAGACCTACGGTAATAGCTTATTCCCTGTATGGGAAATTCGCTCAAATGAGACATTTAAATACCTCCACCGTAGCAAACCTGCAGAATCTGCGAATTTCAATTTATCCTATTGGAATTTACACTTAAATAATTCCTTAGATATGTCAGGTGCATTCAATATTAAAAAGCATTAGATTAAACGAGTACTAAGGTTAGCTGCTACAGAGATGGTAAAATGTATAGTTTTTAGTGATATTAAGCTTAGGATGAAATAACCAATCCGCCAAATTTTATCTCACCTAATTTGCCAGAGATAGTGCTCGTCTAAAATCCAAAAGAGCAAGTCAAACACAAACCATTAACAAAGAGCACAACACAATTCAAAATCCTACAGTAAAACGATTGTGAACTTAAAATCACTGGCCCTTCGCAATTGCTTTGGACTACCTACTGAATGACTAACATATGTTACGTCTCTTTTGTTTACCTTCGTATTGTTATATTGCAAATAACGTCATGGCGACCAATAAATCCAACGGCCTATTTTAAATTTCTAAACATTTAAATTCACGTAGAGAAAAGCTTTTAGGCCAATTTGTACCATTTCAGATTTATACCTTAATTTCCATACTTGGTTACCATGACTGTACTAATTTTCATGCTGATCACTTCAGCCGTTCAGAATGAGTATGTGGAAAACAAAAGCAGAAGTGTAGTATAAGAGCTTCGCTCAATAAGTACACAGCACATAGAAAAATTAATATTGGCTGAGCTCCTTTTTCTGGATGTACAAAGATGGTTAGATAGTCCTATGTATTAAAACGCAATGGCTGACCCTGCTGTCCGACGGGTTGCGGTTATTTTCATGTCATTTTGTTGTTTAAAATGAGAATTTTAAAAATGAGAAAATAAACAAAGTGAATCAGTATCTCTGAATCATTGAAGGCGAACTCTTGAAGTTATTCAAAGAGAGATGGGCAAAGCTCTAAAGAAAATTACTTTTTAGTTTACTATTTGTCCCTTCGCTAGGTCTTAAGCTTTAAAATGTCACCTTAATCCTAAAAATCGGTTTACTAGGACGGCTGGACAAAGGGATGTAACCGAGAAACCCCTTGGTTATCGTATTGAATATATGGAATATAGAGCGATAGAAGATATGTAGAACCCAGCAGAATTGCAAACTCACACAAGAAAAGACTATCGTGATAGCTTCCCATATAAAAATATGGTGGAAAAGGCAGTTTTTGCAAAAAGTCACCAATAGATTTGTATTTTGTTTGAAACATTCTCATCCCCACCCTCTTTTAAGTACGTAAGAATAATATGAGAATGGAGGCTTAAAATAAAGCTGTTGGATAGTCAATACACCAACCGGGTGATAATGCAATAGAATCTACAAGCAAATCATGTTTTAAGTGAGCTTTTTTTACATAGTTTTATTTACAATCTGTTTTGCATTAAACAATAAGTTCAAATATGATGGCATTTTTAACAATACAGTAAAATAAAAATTGGAATGCATGAGTTAGCAGCTAAACAGCTTTAGCAGTAACAAAAAAAAAAAAACAAAGACAATAAATTTCAGAGCTGCTGTACAAATCGAGTCGGAAGGTCTAAAACATTTTCTCTTTTTAGTCTGTAGACATGTTGGCTGTTGTCTAGGAGGTTGAGGGCCAAATGTTTCGGATGATTCTCAAGCTTTGAGATGTATTTTTTACTGCAGCTCGTAACTTCTTCAGTAACAAATGGAATTTTGCAATCATTGTGAATGGTGACGTTGGATACATACCAAGGGGCTTTCAGGATGGTTCTTAGTAATTTTGACTGAAATATTTGTAATATATCCAAGTTTGATTTTGAAGCTGTTCCCCATAAAGAAATGCCATATGTCCAAATTGGTTTGAGGACAACCTTGTAAAGCAATAATTTATTTTCTATTGACAGTTTTGAATTTTTATTCATGAGCCAGTCCATTTGTCGAAACTTAGAATTTAGATGTTGCCGTTTGTTCCAAATATGGCTTCGCCAGGTAAGTTTTCTGTCGAGGTGGATGACTTAAATTACGCTGCGAAATAAAAGAATATAATATTTTATTTACTAATACTGTTTCTTACTAGTTTATAATTAAGAATATTTCGAAAATTGATTGGAAAGCATTAAAACAACAATTATATTATATACATTGGAGTTCAAAAAGATGGCCTGTCATGCCTCATGTCATCAAGCAAGACGGAGAAACACAACTGAATAACAATCCAGGCGCAGGTAGGCAATATGACTACAAGCACGGCGACAGACGCAGTCCGCAATACCTACCATTCAGGTCACTGAGTCTACATGAAATATGTTACAATACACAATACTGTATTGTTGATGACCTTCGTATTATATTTAACACACCCCTATCAAAAATCTAAAATAAGGTTCTATTATCAAGAGAGGACATTTATATGCAGCAAAAATATTTTCGCCATGCAGTTAACACGAATTAGGCCTACTATCATCTTATACTGTAAATATTTAATATTTTGATTAACTTTGGAATGTTTAAAAACAAAAGAAGATAAGGTATTGTACCATAATTAATTGTACTCTGCTGTATAACTACCGTATTTTCTGATTAATCATTGAGGTTAACTAAATTATGATATATTGATCGTTACACAATTTGGTGAATTGAAAACAAAGAGTTTTGACATTGAAGAGATGTATAAATAAATAAATGGGTATCAAAGTGTAAACTAAACTTTAAAATGAGGCATTACATAATTTTTTATGACGATACGAACGGTTAGATTAGTTTTACCGAGTTACTAGTTATTACAATTGTCGTATGTTACAGGAAAGTTACATAAAAAGGAATAACTTGTATTGTTGTGTACATTTGAAGAAAGATTACACTTCAGATTTCGGAAAAAAACGAACTGACATTAGATGGATGCTGAGAGTAAAAAAAAGCTTACAATGTGCCTGCTGGTGTTTCTAATTTGATATCGTGTATTCTACAAAAATTAGTAAAATTGTATCAGCACAATCTGCCGGAGGTTCACATCAACTACGGCGAATTTGATTTTTTTTTAAGTGGCGACAACTTGAACATGGAGATAAAATGTCTAGTTGTAAAGATGATGCCTTTAATACAAATGTATCAAATTTTAACGTTCAATTGAATAATATGGTATAACTGCTACAACATGGACAAACAAAACAACAATATTTTAGCAATCTTCTTTTTATTTCATTTCAATAAATTAAATGTAATAAATAGTTGATTGTGAGATGTACAAGTTGACTAGGAAGTGCTGCTTAGTATCCGTAGTGGATGCCGTATCCGTCAAAGGTCAGGTGAGCGACGGCAGGGGCGGCAGAGTAAGCAACTCCAAGGAGACCGTGAGCAGCGGGGGCAGCGGCGTAAGCAGCGGGTGCGTGGTAGGCGGGGGCGTAAGCGGGAGCAACAGCCTTAACGACGGGGGTGGCGTAAGCGGCAGGGGCGTGGTAGGCGGGGGCGGCGTACGCAGCAGGAGCGTAGGCGGGGGCGGCGTAGGTGGCGTAACCGGGGTTGCTCACACGGACGTCAGACTTGCTCACGCTGGAGTAGGGAGTGTCGATGGTCTTGGTGTAGGTGGAGACCTGTCCCAGGTTGCCAGGGGTCCTCAGGATGTTGGCGGAGGTGGAGGTGACGGCAGCAGGGGCGTAGGCATGGGCGGCGTACGCAGCAGGAGCGTATGCGGGGGCAGCGTACGCAGCGGGTGCGTAGGCGGGGGCGGCGAGGTAGCCTGCGTTGGCAACAGCCAAAGCGGCGGCGAGAACCAAGAACTGTGAACAAGTTTTTTATTTTATTTTTAAAAGTTGAATACCTATATAATAACACATATCGTGTATCACTAATATATGCATTAACAAAACATCGTCCCAACGAGTCATGTTAATAAGAACAATATAAGACCCCAACTCTATTAATCATACTTTTTAATAATTTAACTGTACTGCGTCATCTTGCTCAGAAAATTACTCAGCGAACCTCCTCCAAAGACAAAGACTCATAAAGTCCAATGCTCCCTCCCAAAGCACCCACAGAACAGTTATCGCAAGTTCTGCAAAGAGAGGTTAATCGAAACTCCCACTGTCTGGCTAGCCAATTACAGATATGCTATCGGCACGGATCTACAAGTGATCAATTAATTTTCCAGACGAAGATATACAAATTGAACCGAGTCAAGGGCGAGCCACGCCTAGGTCGGCCTCAGTCGGATCTGGGGCAGGGTCATTTTTGAAGAGCTTTTTGGAGAAAGCGTGTTACAACATTTCTTTAACGTCAGTAGATGAAAGGGATTGCGAGTTTACCGGGAACAGTTCCATTATTGGCCATTTGGTTCTGATTCAACTTGCTTCTGACCGGTGTCAGATTCAGATTAGTGAAATGTGTTACTCCGACCGACCATAGAACGCGACGGCATGTTATTTTGTCCTGTCCGTGATAAAGGAGCCCGCCCAAACAAAAAAAAAAAAAATGCTATAGTCATGCTAAGAAACACATCCATTTGACTATTTAGAAATATTAAGGTTTTTAGTTACAAAACTGCGTAAGGCTTTCTCCGGAAACAATGCACCAACATAAATTTATAAATGCGTTTAAATAATAATCGTCAACAATTATTTTAGGTTGATTATTATGAAATTGTGAATAACTAATTTACCTTTCACGTTATTAAAGTAGTTACTCTTGTCAAGTTTCTATCTAAAAGCGTTAAAGTTATATTAGAATATTTGTCCGTACAGTAAATAGTTGTTGTATTAACAGTCAAAGGTAAAACTCTTAAAAACCAAACAGGATATTTTGTTTGAATTGTCTTTACAACAAAAGGTATTTTAATTTTATCACCTACAATGGTCTTCTAAAGGCAACAGTACAAATATTCATAGAGATATTAAAGCCCTAAAAGCTATATTGCAACAAATTATGCTTTTTGCTAACTAAATATTATTTTAATTATTAAATAAATATTTAATTCAGAGGAATTTAAAAAGTTCCATTTCTCTCAAATGTTAAAACAACACCTAATGCTACTCGGCCAAGATTTATTTTGCCAAGTAGTCATTGGATTACTGAACTCTGTACACAAGCCAATTATATTGATTAAAAAATACTTATTAAATTTATTGCTTTTGAAAGAACCTGCTCTGAATTTGCTAAAACTGACTCACTGCGTTAACGGGCTAAGACGATAGTACTATTTTTAGTTAAGATTTGTTATATAGGTAAACATTTCAGATATACTTTATGCTACAGTTTAATTTTCGTGATTGGCTAAGACGATTTCTCATATACTATCACACAAAGTAACAGGCCAGTAGTACGTGTTAAAACTATATCATATATAAACCCACATTTAACGTTATTATTGTAGAACTATGTGAAATGGGTTTAACAATTATAAAATACAACATAACAGGTTGAGGAGTAAAATGTTACATTTAAAATGTATCCTAACAGCTCAACACGAATAACGTATTATAAGCTAACAAAAACTTAACCAATTTGTCTCAGACAGATGGAAAATATAAGAAAATCCTAGTTTGGTTCAATAATTAACGAATAAAATATTCGTAAAGGAAACAAATTTCCAACCCAATTACGATGATAATTTAGTTAAAAAAGAAATCTCCAATATTGTAGACAATGTTTATTAGTTCAATTTGACAAATATCAATTTTTGAAGTCAAGTTTCTATTCACGCTCTTAAAAGCTTACAAATGTATGCTTAACTTATTGAGTCATGTTAAAGGCAAGAAAAGATAAATAAATTAAAAATCCACCCAAAGGATATTACTAAGTTAAATCCATCTCAAAACACCTCGAAAATTCAAAAATCTTAAGTAACCTTAAAAATCCAAAAAGACAAATTGTTTAATAACAAAGTCGATATAATTTTGTTTATGTTTGAATTTATTAAATTCTTTACAAGCAATATAATACTAAAATGGTAGTAGAGTACTAAGTGTTACCTTGTACATGGTGATGTGTTGTTGAGTGTGACACAACTGTACAGCCTGATGGTGGCCGATAGCTTATATAGCAGACCAGGTCCAGGTCCACCCTCCTGGTATGACCGTGACGGGCTGCGGACCTTGGACAACCGACCGGGCTCTGGGTCACCCGCGCCCCGCCTCCTCACCACCGTCAAATACGACCAGGGATGTCAGTTCCGTATATTGTGAGGATTTTTCATACATTCATTATTTGATAACCGAATAAAAATGGTCTGGATCTAGAATCAATCTCTCTTGGAATCGAACCAGAGTACCCTTCAGATTTGAAGGTTAGCATTAGGTCTATAACCATTAACCAATAATAGGCCACCCATAAAATATTTTAAATTGAAATAAATAACAACGAGGTGTTATCCCTTCCTACGTACGGAAATTCAGTAGTCAGTTAAAACCGTGTACAATTCAGATCAGCTAGTTTGCACATATAAAGACAAAGTTTCTTGTAGTTTTAATGTGAAAAATCATCTTATAAACAAATGTTGTGTGACCAAATATGTTTTTATTCCATCATAGGGCTATACGATATGCATTTTAAATCCGATAACTTTACAATAAAACAGCAATTCTGCAATTTTTACGATGTGAAAAGCCTTGAAGTGAGATTTGCAGCCGATTCGCACAGACGCACACTGAATATAAGTAGCCTACAGTAGAGAGAGTCAATTGAGAAGTGTATAGACCTAGACAACGCTACCACCTTCCATAGCATACCTGCTTCTTCCATAATTATTATCACAACAATACAACTACTATACACAATTTCCAGTAGGTCTGAATAGAAACGACCTAAAATAAAACGATAATATCCACTAAAATTCACAGTACACATAATTTAACTTTGGTGTCCTAACAACAAAACTAATCGTCACACCTATCCTTTATATAAATTTCACTTCATTAATTGCTAAATAAATAAGTGTAAACAAAGAAAAGTAAAAACAATAACAGTTTGTTTTAAAATAGCTGTTTGGTTCAAATAACATTCATTTGAAAAAAATAACTGGTCACATGTAGCAGGATTATAAACAGTAAACAAGCTGGTAAAGCTAATGACGTAATTGTCAATGTTTATCATCCATACCGTTATCAGTTCTATCCTTGATAATTACCCACGCTCATTGAATAAATGTACATCGTAATTTTCCATATTAGTTAATTTAAACTACAATATATTCATAGTTGAAATAAAAGTGAAATTTTCACGTTTGGGGGCGCTGATATAGGCACCCCCAAACGTAACCACAACTGAACACGATTTCATAAAAGGATGGTTTGTCTAATTGCAGTATCCTAGGTCAATGTTGACGTTGTGTTCAATCTATGTCATCCATCTCTATCTGTTTATCTTTGTATAAAACCCGGCTGAGGTTGTGGTGGTAATTTAAAATCGTGATTCCTGATTATTCTTGATCTTCTTTTTATGACATCAATATTTCCGGGCCTAATCCAAACAAAGTTAAAGCAGACAAGCATTAATTGTAAACAAAAAGCTACCGTACCATGAAGAATTAAAACATATAAACATTGTTATTTTTCTAATCTTTCCTTGGAAAGTGGAGCAGTAAAATAATTTGCATTTATCCTTTTTCATCAAGACTCTTGTACAGAGCATCGATTTGTACTGTGATTTAATTAATTTTGGTCTAAACTATTTCAAACTGTGGTCTAATTATCTCTACTAATTTTACTTATTTCCTATAATCAATGAAAAAATGAGGGTAAATAAAATAACCTCATAGTTCCATAGTTTATATTTAACCAGCTGTTAGTTAAAATAAATTATATTGCTCTAAAACAAATCGAAGATTACAAAGATTGCTTTAAAAAATAATTCGAACATCCTAGTATTTTACTATGTATATTTAATTAATCTGTCATCCTCTTACAGAAGAATTGAACGTATCAATGATTAGCATTACACATAGTATAAATAAGTCAACCCTAAGTATGTCTTTACATTTTTTATCCAAATGCTGAATTTGTGACACAAAAGCTGAATGTTTACAGCTGTTATGTTAAGCAAATTATTTTATGCCAAAAGCTAGTTTAGAATCTTAGCGTCGGCTGCTAGACTTTAAAAAAATTAAAACTTAATTTCTAAAAAACTGGGACCCTAAACTAAAATTATGGCTTCAACATTCCCTAGTTCTAAAAATTATCATTCTTTCAACACAAAAATCATGAAAATCCGTCAAGTGGTTGATTCAGAATCGTGAAATAAAAAAAAAACCCTGTTACGTTTTAATATTATAGAATAAATAACAATAAAGCCCCTAGTTAAATTCTTTAAATAATATAAATCACAAACCCTCATGGCGAATCTTTTCACCTTAAACATGATTATATAAAAGTATGAATAGGCAATAATAAACTAACAAAGATTGAACTGTTTTTTTTATGACACAAAACTACCTCTAGGTGCTTAGTGTTATTATTTTGTATAAATACGACATAATTTCATCAATTTGCACTCATAACAAGTTATAAGTGTACGACCAAATAACTTTTCTACATCTCGGTAAGGATGAGTGCTAAAAATGTGCCTTAATGATGAAAAATTGTATTTAACATTTCTTTATAGAAAGAAGTCTTTTTGAAATCACCGTTAAAATTAAAAATACCCCCGCCGCAGCAAACCTGCAGACTAAGCGAATTTCCATTTGACTGATTGGATTTACACTGAAATGTCTACTTAAAAATATAACATTTATTCATGATTTAAATAGAATTAGTTTAACAAGTACTTAGGTTTGCTGCATCAGGGAGGGTAAAACTGTTAATGTGAATAGTTAGTAAGAAATAAAAACATTTTCCAAATTTGATCAAAATATGTTCACAAACAAGCAAACTACAACAGTTTACTTTTTCTCCATAAGAATAACATGGGAATTTTAAATTTACAATTTTTTGGAATTTTCTCCGTAACCATTAGGCGCATAATAACGCTTCAATATACTAAATTATTTGTTTTTTTAAGCTCTACAAAATGGTTTGGAAAGGAATTGCTAAATTTTATGTTTTTTGGGTCAAAAATGGGAAAAACCTATTTTTACCCCATAAAACCCCCCCCCCCGTAAACCCCCGTTACCATGGTCCGATCATGCTGGATCGCGAACTCGTTCGAATAAACGTAGGTTTACACGTTTGTACCAAATTTCATCAAAATCGGATCATTTTTGCTCGTGTTATCGTGCTGACGGACACACACACACACACACACACACACACATATATATATATATATATATATATATATATGAATTTGAACGGATGGCGTTTTTGGCCTCTAGGGACCTCAAAACGTAAAAAAAATTGGTCCCGCGTCCATGTCTTACCATGAGTACTACGGTAATAGCTTATTCCCTATATGAGAAATTCGCTAAAACATATTTTTAAGTTGAGGGGAATTTACCGTTTTCTTAATTAATTTAGCCTTATCTTTATTTCATTTTATTTTTGAAGAAGGGCATTTAAGGGTTGTAAAAGAATACTGGATACATTTGAACCATTCTTCCACCTCTAGGTTTCAACGCACAAGTCACTAGTTTCTTTGTATTCTTGTTAAAAATGTCAACCTCTAAAAACCAAGGATATTGAAATCAGACTTCATTATTTTTGACCAACGAATTTTGGTAAAGTTTTATGGAACAACCAAGTTCCATCTTGTACATAATATATCGAAGAATAGAATCTAAAATTCGGATAGTTGCAGGAATTTATGTACATGTTTTAGACTTGTGCAAACAGTAACCATCAAAAAAACGTTGGTATAACGATTTATTCTAAAAAGGCTAAATTAGTGTTAGTTTCAAATTACTTATTTCTCTTCATGTATATCAAAGATATATTTATGCATGAGCCATCTGTGTCTGCACCTCAAACAAGGCCACTTCTGAACATATCCTGGAAGTAGGGAAAGACTAATAAGGTTTATATTTAGGCTTTTTTATAACTGGGAGCCATTCAATATCAGTGCGAAACCTATCATATGGTTGTTTACCTTCTATTGAGGGTCAAGTCCTCAGTATAATGACGTGGAGCTAACGCAGCCATGTCACAAATTAGGTGAGACAGTTTCTCTGTGACGTCATTTATTGTACAGGTTTAAAGATAAAAAAAATGTTTAATACTTTAGAATCAAATATGAAAAGAGAATATAAATTGGAAATATAGGTACCATTTAAAACTGTACACTTTTAAAACTGGTACTTAGTCATTGTATTCCTTTTTTAATGCTACATTATATAGCCTTCTAGATCGATGATATTATTATTTGAGTTAAAAATGTGTGAACTACCTGAAGAATATATCATTTTGTAAACTGCAGTAGAAATTTAAAAAACGGGATCCATTGCCTATATGTGGCACAGGGTATATACTTAGAAAGAGGGCCTATCCAATGACTAATGTTCTAGTATGTAGTATAGTGATTTAAAGAGATTATTAGTGAAGAGTGAATTGTTTGAACGAAAAACAATATATATATATTTTGAGACAGAAGTAGGTATATTTCATAATACTTATAGTGTTGATAGTATGCTAATAAAAACCCAGCGACCTTACCATCCACAGATCAAGTCTAGTTAATTATTTATATTAGACAATGCTTTATATATAATTTATATTGGATTTGAAAATGATATATTAACATCCTAAAAGTTTTCTGTACATAGCAGCCAAGATTTGTCAGGAAACGCAATAATTACTAAAGCAATAACGGTCTTAGAAGACTGACTTGATCAGCAGTGGAACAAGTATAAGCATAATAGTGTGGTGGCTTAGCGAAATTATCGTGACCTGATGGATTAAAGCTACAGACTTTGTACATTTCTTCCATACCGTAAATACAAACAATTTATGGGGAGGCCCGATTTTCAGGTCTGACATCTTGAAATACGACGCCATCTTTGTTTTCTTTAGAGGAATTGAACAATTTATTGAAAATGGCCTAATATCACCCAAAAGGGCACAATTACGCCATTATGTATGTATAACATGTTTTGTTCACAATCAAATTTAATATAAAATTATATTAAAAACCACTTCAATAACTTAAATAGTTTTGAAGATATACACTGTTAAAGTTGAAAAGTTGATATATTCCTCTACGCAACCATAGATCTCTATATGGAGACGGACCAATATTTTAATCATAAAGTTTCATAAAGATTACGTTCAAACATATTACAGCAACTCGTAATTTTTAGCGGTATTTGAAATTGGTAGTAGTAATAAGTATGAGTGTTAAAAATATAGCAATTACGAGTTGGTTAACAACGAGGCTCTCGTTAATCTTTTCATGGATGACCCAGAAAACAACCGGTCCAACGACCTTGCTGTAGGCGTGTCTGAGTGTGTATGTGTGCAACTAGATCTGTCTGATAAAAACAATTAATTTGCATCCATTGAGTAACACGCCTGATGTTACTGTTGGGGCGAATCCATACATCATTGCCATTACATGATAGGCGAAAGTCGCTAAAACAGTGGTTTCCACATAATATTTCGCTTACATTTATTGCTAAACCTTTGAAAATTTGACAGAACAAAACAAAATTAATGTGTTGACAAGAACTGATTGATTGATCAATTACTTCTAAGATTTAACAAAACAATAATTTTTTTAATAGTTACATTTTCCCCGTTTTAGATCACCTTTTCTGGTTAAAATGGGGACGTCATAAGAACGTCTGTAATTTTGAACACATTTATTAAAAGCCAACTGTACATCCCTATTATAATGTGCAATACATCCACAACTTTAGTTACCAACTTAAATCTCTTTAAGACATTGGCAGCCTCTTTTAACCTTGCCTTTGCACTAAGGCAAAGCACCTGGTTTGAACTCCTAACATACAAAAAACCACATTCCAATTACAGCGGAGGATGCAAAATAGCATCCTAATTAATAACATACATAAAATACACTACATCATTATGATATAACTTCAAGGTTATATCATTACCAAAAACCTAAATACGACCAGAATTAAGGTTATTTCTGAATTAAGTTATTCGGTTCGTTTGAATTAAGGTGTCGGTTTTAATAATTAAACGCATACGATAGTAAGTGCGTTGTATCTTGTATATGTATTCAGCCTTATAAACATTCATAGGCTAGTGTTGTAAATATATATTGTTTTTGAAGAATTATTTCTTACAGGCTGTTGTAAGGCGTGTATGCATGCACGCCAATACTGCTATGGCGTGATTTATTAATGATTGTTAATTTCATAAGTATTGGTGGTTACATTACATTAGGTAACTAATGCGATTAAAAGCGTAACACAAGTATAATATTCGCAACTGGTCATATAAAGCAACCGATTAAAATACATACACTTGTAATTAATGTACAGGTTTCAAAAACTAATAAAATTATTTCATTTTTGATATGTGACTGATATTAACGAACAAACATAATCATAGGGAGGTTATTTTCACACATAGGCCTACACCAATAAGTTTACTTTTGCAGAAGGGAGCCTTACGTTTGGTAGCAAAAGTTAGCCAATGGACTCCAAGCGAAGGTATTTTTGTGTAACACAATATTATGACTTTGTACTTAACGTATGCAATGCATGCCATGTTATATGTTTGGTTAAATTTAGCTGCTGTCCTGGTAATTATTTTTTTAATGTAGGACAAACTCATGACCATAACGCCCAGATAAGGTAAAGATTTGTTCCAGAGTGAGAAGAAATCAGAGTGTCAAAAGGACAGAAAATACCCCTTAGGTCAAGGGAAATTTTTTTTTCAAAAAATTGTCTAAGTCCATCAAGAAACTAGAAGGTAAAAATCAGTTCAGTGTAATCCGAAGATCGTTGGCCGTTGTAGCAATGAAATAACCAAACCCACCCAAATACCAAAGGAAATTCATTAATAATTTATGTAACGAGAGGTGTTTTACCTCTTAAATGTGGAGGGTCTCGTAAAAGTAGTACACTGTCATGCAATATGCATTTTATTGGTAAAGTGTTTTTTTTTTATGAAGATATTATTATTGCAATGTTTCATCTGATTACAACATCAATCCACCATACAACTATACATTGTGACGATGCATAATTATTCTCATTGAAACTATCACCCTTGTAAATTTCCCATCGTTAATTTTAACAAATGTTCAATTTGGTTGAATTTGGTTTGGTATCTTCTAATATATAAAATTCTCGTGTCACAGTGTTTGTCTGCAAACTCCTCCGGAACGACTTCACCGATCGTTATGAAATTTGGTGTGTAAATTCTGTAGGTATGCGAATCGGACGTAAACTATTTCCCGTTTCGAAATTCTTAAAAGGGCTCCGCCCCAGTGGCTCTGGAGTTTCCCATGTTAACCTTATGAGAAATGGAATTAATGAATCTTAACAGCTGTTTCAATTAAACAAGTTGGTTCTGTTGTATGATGTTCAATAGCATTAAAGTTACAAGGATTACCAACAGGGTGCAGCACTATTATTTCTTTAACATTTATGACAACAGCTAATTTGCAACCAAAAGGTGAGTGAGCGTAGCGAACGAACTTCAACCTGGAGGCGAGTGAGCGTAGCGAACGAGCTAACCTGAAGGCAAGTGAGCGCAGCGAACGAGGTCCAACCTAAAGGTGAGTGAGCGTAGCGAACGAGCTCCAACCCAAAGGTGAGTGAGCGTAGCGAACGAACTTCAACCAGGACGTGATTGAGCGATGCGAACGAGATCATCTTGAAAATTAAACGTAACGGTACTTTCTTTCCATCGGTCTGTCTTAGGGGAAACCTATAACTTAGGCGATACGAAGTTCGCCGGGTCAGCTAGTTCTTTTATAAAATAATAGTGGTTTATTTACCTTTACTTTCGTTCCAGTTCAATAATACAGTAGTTGTAGTATCTACAACCATAGTTTCGACGCTAGTTTCGTCATGGTCACGTAGTTAGCAAGACGAGGAATATCTTGTCATAGTCAGTCGCTTATCATTTCTCGACTTTCTAACTACGTGACCATGACGCAACTAGCGCCGAAACCATGGTTGTAGATACTACTATTAACTATTATTGAGCTGGGACGAAAGTAAAGGTAAATAAACCACTATTATTTTATATTTGTCTTACCAGTTCAGGGGCAAGCCACAACAATGAGAACATCTTTTTATATTAGAAGATCTTACAAGGAGTAAGCGTATTAATTGTGCACCAAGGGGGTGGCCATATTTTGGCTTTTAAGAAGAATACAATCAGCAAAGACCTTGAACCATTACAAACGGTACTATAGTGCTACTTATTTGTTTACTAAACTATAATCCTTATGCATTTGACTTTTGTGTGTATATCGATGTTCCGTTGCGGTAGAGCAGGGTACCTCTCCCTTTTGAAATTTAATTGACTGAAATTAGTTACTTGTTTTGAAAGCATGATTCATGCTGGCAATGTTCGCCTATGTAAGTTCAATGTTTTAATTAGCATAGGAAGTAATAGAATATTTCGTACCGTGGGCCAAAAATTAGGTTTTGCTGGCTCGAGGTAGTTTTTAAGTTCGAGACGAAGTCGAGAACTTAAAACGAACGAGAGCTGCAAAACCATTTCGGTCCGTGGTACTAACGCAATTTTTCACCACACTATACCCTATTACCACTGAGTATTATATGTGTTGGCGACATTTGAGTGCTGTTGATTAAAATGTATCTCTGTAATTTAAGGTCAGATATAATTTAAGATTTGCGATCAAAAATTAAAATATGTTACAATAGCTTTGCTGATCCATAAGGGTTACATATCTACCTACATATTCTACGTTGTAAGCAAGAAGTATGTTTAAAAATATTTCATGAATGTGTCATACACAATTTATCCACCAGAACTTTAATAAAAGTGAAAAAAAATGTTTAAAACTATACTTATTTTTAAAACAAATGAATCTATTATAGCTTAAAATAAGATCAAGCTAAGAAGTCATAATGTACATGTACCGTGTATTACTATCATTAAAAACATGACTGCGGCCAACGCGACATCAGATGATTGCTAAGGCCTTAGCAACACTTTTCTACTGAAAAAGGTTGTGTGATACTTCGGAATAATCTTTGAACCTCTTTTATGTAATGGTAGCATAGGTCTGTAGCTTACATCATACAGTATACAAGTTTGCCGACTATACAAAATTATTATTCGCATTTGCATTTTAGTGCAATTTGAAAAATAATGCATTGGACCCACTTTGTACAACGAGCTGTTACCTATTCTTTTTAAAAACTGCTACCTTTAATCTTGTCCCCGCTAAATCTTGCCTATGCCATTTCAGTACACCTCAGTCAAAGATGCACTAAACATCAGGCTGTGGTGGACCCGGGATAATCAAGAAGTTGTTACGTTATATTATATTTTTGAACTCAAATTTTATTTGGAAAAATATTATTTGATTATCGTTTTGTGGGCGGACCTGAGACCGTACACCTAGTATATAGGTTAGGTAAAATTAACTTTCCCTAGTAAGTAGATCAACAAGACCGCTTATAGACAATAGATTGAGTTTCATTGCTTAAAATAGCAATCTATGCATATTTTTGTATTTACGGGTTGTATACGGAGATTATTTCTCTACTTAAATCAAGCAATTACGTAAAGAGATGTTATTACAGCATACAATAATCTACGTGTGCTAATTAATTGCATATAAAAAGGTAATTTAATTTGACATAGAAAGACAAAATAAAAAGTTAACTGAGCTTCCGTTGTAGTGTATCGAATATAGGTTGTATATACAATTTAGTGGTGACAAGTTGAGTAATTCAGAGCATAGCAGACAACTGCCTGATAGGGTGAAATAAATCTTGAATATAACATAAAACGTTTATTTAAATAACCTTAGAACTAAAGGAATAAGACACTAGGATGGCACGAGGAGATGGTATTTTATGCAATGAAATGATGAGGGTTGGTGTAAGTGAGGATAGTGGATACTTAGTATCCATAATGGACTCCATATCCATCAAAAGACAGATGAGCTACGGCGGTGGCAGGGGAGTATGCAACACCAAGAAGACCGTGAGTGGCAGGAGCGGCGTAGGCAGCAGGAGCGTGGTAGGCGGCAGGGGCGGCGTACGCAGCGGGGGCGGCGTAGGCAAGAGGGGCATGGTAGGCGGGGGCGGCGTACGCAGCAGGAGCGTAGGCGGGGGCGGCGTAGGTGGCGTAGCCGGGGTTGCTCACACGGACGTCAGACTTGCTCACGCTGGAGTAGGGAGTGTCGATGGTCTTGGTGTAGGTGGAGACCTGTCCCAGGTTGCCGGGGGTCCTCAGGATGTTGGCAGAGGTAGAGGTGAGGGCGGCGGGGGCGTGGTAGGCAGGGGCGGCGTACGCAGCAGGGGCGTAGGCAGGAGCAGCATAGGCAGCGGGGGCATATGCGGGGCCAGAGACATAGGCAGCCTGGGCTACAGCCAGGGCGGCGGCGAGGACAACGAACTGTAACATTACGATATGTTAATTTCGTATACTACATTTCTATAAAGTTGTAAGACTAATTTGGGCTTTATTTATATCATAATCTTAAGTCAGCACATTTTATATTTTTGCATACGGAGGGTTTTTATCTAATAATTAAGTAACTACTAGCAGATTCTTCACTTAAACACTGATTTGAATTTGAATTTCAGGAACCAAATCTTAAAAGGGAGATTCTGTTATGGATCTGTCAATGCTGTACCATAAACAAAGTGTTTTTTCGTTGTAAGTGAGGCTAAGTGACCAAATGGGGGGTTGCGGTAAGGATAATTAATTGGCTATCATTGTAAGGATGTCTAAAAATATAGGCGTGCAATCAAGTGCTTCTTTGACACTTTGCAATTTCGTTTTAATTCATCATCGATGGTGTTTTCTAAGGTGTAGCTATAAATGAATGATATATCAGACTATTTTTATTACTATTGTACCGATTCAGATGGGAACGCAACTGATCGTCTTTTATCCCAGAAATTAGCGTAGAATGGAGAATGGATATAATATGATATAACTCTCATCCCAGCGAATCTGGATGAATAATATTAAAAATGGCGTGTACATTTAAACCATACATTCATTAACCACACTATGTGTACTACTATAAATCTAGTAGACGGGAGTCTGACCTGTGATAGGCGGGGCTGACCTTAGACAAGTGCAGGAGAAAGTACAATCTGTTATGCGCGGAGATAACACTTACATAACGCGCGACCTTGCTCCTCCACGCGGACACTGAACCTCACCTGTCCCACTGTACCACACTCTCCCATACTGTCCCCTACTGTCCCACACTGTACCACACTCTCCCATACTGTCCCCTACTGTCCCACACTGTACCACACTCTCCCATACTGTCCCCTACTGTCCCACACTGTACCACACTCTCCCATACTGTCCCCTACTGTCCCACACTGTACCACACTCTCCCATACTGTCCCCTACTGTCCCACTGTACCACACTCTCCCATACTGTCCCCTACTGTCCCACTGTACCACACTCTCCCATACTGTCCCCTACTGTCCCACACTGTACCACACTCTCCCATACTGTCCCCTACTGTCCCACACTGTACCACACTCTCCCATACTGTCCCCTACTGTCCCACTGTACCACACTCTCCCATACTGTCCCCTACTGTCCCACACTAACTCTATATGTCCCCAAAGATGTGTTTGGAGTAAAGTTGAGAGGAAATCATTTAATGCTAAAGTAATCATTTCACATAGGCCTATCAGGGGAAACTGTAAAGGACAATTTTAAACTACAATGGATTGAGCAAGAGAGAGGCTTGACAAAGATAACATCACGTAAGTTTGAGTAGTAAATAAAACTCCTAAATGGAAAGCTTTAAACTCTGACATGGAAATTCTTCTGTAAAACAAGAAGCTATTACAATGTTTGAAATCAATTACTCTAAATTTAGAAAAACAATGATATTATTAATCTATTGTTCTACAATTAACACCGACTATGTCCTACTTTGCTCATATGTAATACCAGTATAATTTACCTTTTTCGGTAGCCTAAGGAAGGTGTCAACAGTAGAGTTCTGCAGTAGACGTTTCGTGACAATTACGACACATCTTCAGCTGCGTAGTACAGCTGGTTAAAACAGCTCACATTGAGAGTGTTTGTCAAATTTTAAAATAAGTCGGAGAATACGGAGACAAATGCGGACAAGACAACGGACACACATTATTTACACAGTTTATGGCATTGATGAACTCGGCGGAATCACACGAAATTCATCGAAAGAACAACATACGACAAATGTTGTAGGCCTACTCACGCAGCTGAAGATGTGTCGTAATTGACACGAAACGTGTACTGCAGAACTCTACTGTTGACACTTTAGGCTACCGAAAAATGTAAGTTATACCGAATAATTGATAGGTGTCTTGGCTTTAATAACGGACAAGCGTCAGTCGTCAGTACAGCACGAACACTATGATAAACTGTGTGCATCTTTATATGTTTAACGGCAACAAATTAAAACATTATGTCTACTAAATATATTCTTTGCCAATTGTATCAAGAATACTTGGATGCATTGCACGACGTCCAAGTGCCACGACGAATACTTATTACAATACAATTTGCAGTGAATGGGACACTTTAAATCTCAGCCAAACCCACAGTTTACCAATGTTCGGGCAGTTAATAATATTATACGGCATACAGTTTACGTTTATTATCTATATTTTATGAAGTGTCTATATTTATAAACTTATTTTTATTCATAGTTTTTTTTTTTCTATAAGTGATTAAATAGTAAAGGATTGGAACAATTTAATAATATTACGTCGTATTGTAATACGACCTATTGTTCATTGAAATGAAATGTATCAATTAATTTTGTCTAAAACAGGTAACATTGTAATACAAGAAACTATAAAAGGTTTTGTAAAATACTTCTGAGAAATTTTTATGGAAATCTTTATTTTTAATACTAATACAACTCACTAGTTATTTACTAATCAAATTTCATAATTGTTTCATGTGGATTTATTTTTGGTGGAGTTTGATTTCCCTCAGTAATAATAAGTGTCTCCATAGATCTACGATTATTTTGTATTAATGTGCAATTGTGTCCAGCTCGTGGTTTATACTAATAAATTAACAATATTTGTCAAGCCTTGATACACAGTGGTATCCTCACTTAAAGAAATATTCTAACTAACCAAACAAATTTTACCTACGTAAAGCTAACATACGTTGTAAAGTGACCAATTCTTATTTTTACCTAAGATTTATATTTTAAGCGTAATCTTCACCCTCCAATCTGACCTGAGTGTTTTGGAGATCATCAAATGTTAAACAATAACATTATCCATGTAGTCAAACTTTATTATTTTCTTGTGTATGTAGCGTATCTTTATTTATTGTATCGTCGTTTGTGATCATAGTGTAGAAACCACGAATACTAGAAATATACCTGTTTGGATCATAAACATAAACAAATGACGTTTTTGGCCCGAAAATAAACATTATTTAACATTGCTTAAATGGAACTGCCATAACTTATGTTCATTGTTCAATGCTATTATTGGTGCCAACAACGTCATTTGTTTATGTTTATGATCCATACCGGTATTTTTCTAGTATTCGTGGTAGAAACCTTAATTTTTGTAGTGCTATAAAACTATTTGAATTCACAATCAGTAACTAAAATACTATATGCTCTTCATGTCCCTGAAGATATGTCAGGTGTCCAATAAATGTTATGCTGTTTATTTAGTTAGGTGACTTAGTTTTAATTCATTTGGATTTGGATATAGTAGTTTAAGTAGTCTTTTCATCCCATTGTAAAATTTGAATACTGTCTTTATTTATATATTTCACGTTTTTAATGTTTAGAATGTGCTGGTACCTACTAAATATTTCACTATTTACGGTCGATTTAACGATTTATTTCTTTTCCGATTCACATGACACTATACTGGACTATTATACTGGTATTGGTTTAATTAGATTGTTAAGTTTCTTTATTTTTTTACAGGATATCTATATTATTAATATGCTACATGGCTCTTTGTGAACAGTAAGGCTTTTTGTTTTAAGATTTAACCCCACATATTATATACTAAAATGGTCATCTAGGTGTCTACATTCGCAAACTGACCTTAATTTTTTTTATCCCTTGGGCTCTGCCTCAGTGGCTTTTAAAGCTCCCATTTTATCCTTATGAAGAACATATTTGTTTGCATTATGATCAGCTGGATATTTTAATTGCTGTTAATATTTTAGTTCTAATTTAAGTAACTCGTGTATTTGTATTATATGTGATGTGCTACAAACATTTACTGACTTGGTTGAAATGAAATATTTACTATTTGAATTTGGGTTGGCGTAAATATTACAATGGAAAAAGCGAGAAAGGCTGGACAATTTTATATACTAAAAAGAAAACTGAATTAACAATGTGCTGCATTTCTTGAGCAATCATCAAAAGATCCGATTTCGCTATGCAAATAAAAAATACCGCAAACAGGTAAAACAGAAAAATGTTATTTTTGTTTCAAACTATAAACCAGGCATGTTGCTTGTGTATCAGGAGTCAGGACCTACCTTGTACATGTTGGCGGTGAGTGCGTTGACTTGTGAGTTAACCGGTGTGAGACTCAGCTGCCTTATATCTGGCCCCACCCAACACAGCACTCAGCACTTGCCCAACACCCAACACTACCATGTCGCCACCGAGCTTCTAACATCATAGAACCGACGCCTGAATCTAAAACATGTTAATTCCTTTGGCAAAAGAGATGTTATTACAATTGGTCAAACCACTACCACGGGAATCGAGTACATCTTCCCTTGGTAAAAGACAATAGCTTCTAAATGCCACAACAAAAATATATCCCTTCCTTTGATTAATATATTCGTGGTATCAGATCAATTACCGGGGGACCGAGCATTGTCCGCATGTAATTGATTGGCTTAAATCGTGAAAACAATATCGTAAACAGACATTATTTTATAATTTACGAAAAAACATTTTTATTACAAACCATAGACCGCTAAAATAATAAGAACTCTGTAATGTAAAGGACAAGTATGCAATTAAACAAAATTAAGATACACTTTTTTGATAATTGCTTAAGTTTATAAGTGCTATTCGCACAGAATTGTTCTCTCCTCTAGTCGTCGAACCCCGACTTTTACGCTCACCAATGACAGCAGATCAAAATATGATACTAAACAAAATCATAATAGTTTAATAAATGGATTGCGACAAAGATTGGTTGCTTTTTTGCTACTACTTCTAAAAAAAAATTTCATTCTGTCAGTTTTTTTTTCATTGGGATCTAGCTTATGGTAAAACCCCCAGATATAATTAGTTTACTTGGAATGCCTCAGTACTTAGGGGATTAAGTTTAGGTGGGAGAGGGTTAAGTAAAAATATTTGTATTTGATCGAAACTATTTCCCCCTATATCGAGTAATCTTCAGTAATCTTTGCTCAATAGTTACAA